ACACATCCTGGGGTAACAAGTGTACATACCCTATGAAGACCTGGCAATGTGTCGGCCCCATATTCTGTGACGATGATGGGTTTACTGTAGAGGTTCCTAAACCCAGCAAACTCTCGCTGAAGCTGCAGCTGGATGACCTCCAGGTGTCCTGGATCTTGGTACCAGGCGTAGTAACGATTGATGCAGACAACATCCACAAAGGGGTTCTGAAACCGGTGATAGGTGGCAGTAGTTATGAAACCGCAGGTTTCCTCATAAGTCTCCATTAATAGTGCTACAGTAAATTACGAATAAACAGAAGTTATCTATCCCCAAGTGCTACAGTAAATTATAAATAAACAGAAAATATCTTATGCACAAGTACTACAGTGAATTACAAATAAACAGAAAATATCTTATCCCTAAGTGCTACGGTAAATTACAAATAAACAGAAGATATCTTACGCACAAGTGCTACAGTAGACTACAAATAAACAGAAGATATCTTACGCACAAGTGCTACAGTAGACTACAAATAAACAGAAGACATCTTATCCACAAGTGCTACAGACATCTGATCAAATCATGTTACAGTAGCTTGCAAATAACTAGGTGACCACTCACCACTTGGTCTTTTTCAAATGTTTCAGAACAAACAAATGTTGTGGGCCGGTGAGCTGGGTCTGTGTCTCTGGTGAATTGTATCACAGACCTGCAGATGTTGAAGCAGTAAATTAATCTGATGGACATAGGTGATTAATTCCTTTGTTTAACATTTCTGTGATGGAAACATGTGATTAGTTCCTTTGTTTAACACATCTGTGATGGATTCATGTGAATAGTTCCATTGTTTAACATATATGTGATGGACATAGGTGATTGGTTCCTTTTTAAAAACATATCTCTGATGGATACAGATGATTAATTTCTTTGTTTAACATACCTATGATGGATACATGTGATTAGTTCCTTTGTTTAACATATACATGATGGATACAGGTGATTAGTTCCTTTGTTTAACATATCCATGAAGGAAATATGCAAACAGTCCTTTGTTTAACATATCCATGATGGAAATATGCAAAAAGTCCTTTGTTTAACATATCTGTGACAGACATAGGTGATTAGTTCCTTTATTTAACATATCTGCGATGGATACATATGCAATTAGTTCCTTTTTTTAAACATATCTGTGATGGACATAGGTGATTAGTTCCTTTGTTTAACATATCTGTGATGGATGTAGGTGATTAATTCCTTTGTAACATATTTGAGATAGAGACTGTGTTTACTTATTTGTCACTTATTTATTATCTTACTACAATCTTATTTGGGAGTCGCCGTGGGGTTGGTGGCTAGTCTCCTGCCTGCTGATTGGAAGGTCGTAGGTTCATGTCCTGATGGAGCCGGCCTTTTTTTTTTCCAGAAATGACCTTGACTCCCAGGTCAACCCAGCCTTAAGTGGGTACCAGATGCAGTCCTGGGACGTAAAGGGCACATCAGCCACCGATTGGTCTATACAAATATATGTCTAGCCCTATACTCCCAATTCACCTAAAGGCGTAGAAAAGGGACCTTTACTTTACTTACCACTTTATTTGATGAATGCCTTGTAGGGTATTGCATCAAAAGGCTTTCTCTTGGTGTCTTTATATGTAGTTTAGTATTTGTTCGATGCTGACTTTTTCTCTTATGACTTTGTTACCAATTTTCTTTTCTTTTTTTTTTTCATTCCTAAAGCTTTCCACAGACTTTTTCTTCTTCTTCTTCTTAGTGTTTACTGGCTGTAAACTCTGGTAGAAAGTTCTGGTTGTTCATCCATTTTTGGACTTTAGTCTTGTTCCACAACTTGAGTTTTGTGTGCACATCCATTTTACAGATCTGGCTTTTTTGTATGCAGACTGTCGGTTTTTCTCGTTTCTCAGGCAGATGCACTCTGACTGAGGGAAACTCCTCTAGTCACCCTGCACAACATGTTTGTTAGTGAGGCAGTGGGTCCCCCCCCCCCCCCCAGAATGGGTCCATGGAACCCACATGGGGACAGAGGCATCTCATTTCCATGGTTACTAACTTTCCTTTCTGGTATGTTGTAAGTGAACATGTCTGGTGGGTGGGGTGCTGGGTGAGGTGCTGGGTGGGGTGCTGGGTGAGGTGCTGGGTGAGGTGCTGGGTGGGGTGCTGGGTGAGGTGCTGGGTGAGGTGCTGGGTGAGGTGCTGGGTGAGGTGCTGGGTGGGGTGCTGGGTGAGGTGCTGGGTGAGGTGCTGGGTGAGGTGCTGGGTGGGGTGCTGGGTGAGTAAACTTTGTACAAAATGGTTCTTTGTAGTGAGTATTTAATTTTATTGTTAATGTTAACTGTGTTGTGTTTACTTCTAGGCTACAGTATGTTCACCTTTTGCCTCAACTCATCCGACTCAGGAGACCCCTAATCAATCACCTTCTAGGACATGCTTGTTGGGGTCAGTCAGTTTATTCTTCCCCTTATCTGTTAAAAGAGAGCCGCCGTGGTCTAGAGGCCAGACGCTCAGCTGCGGATCAGAAGGTCATGGGTTCAGTTAATGACGAGGCCCAGATTTATTTTCAAAAATGACCTTGGCTCCCAGGTCGACACAGTATTGAGTGGGTACGAGGTACACTCCTGGGAAGTAAAGGCGGCCGGCATGATGCTGAATACATCACTCATCAAGTGCCGTTTGGTCCATAAAATAGGTCTAACCCTATATAGCCAATACGCTTCAAAGGGGTGGACAAGGCTCCTTCACTTTACCTTTTTTTACCTGTAAAAAACACAATGGGGCATAGAACCCACACAGAATGTTCTGAGTACTGTCACAGACTGTTCTAAGAACTGTCACAGACTGTCCTGAGTACTGTCACGGACTGTTAGGAGTACTGTCACGGACTGTTCTGAGTACTGTTACACTTACTTAAAGTAGGGCACTGAAACATCCAAACTGGAGCTGGGCTCATTGGCTACAGACCAAATGATGACTGAGGGTTTGTTCTTGTCCCGGCGGATCATCTCGGACATGACCTCGATGTGGTGCTGCAGGGACACGTTGCCAAAGTTGTAACTACAAAGACAGATGGAAATACCAATGCCAGATAAAGTTACAACAAATTACTCTTTTGTCTGGACAAACATCAAACCCAGCATCTTAGGTTTGTGATATGCTCCATAAATGTCCCTTTACCTGCACTGCTGCGATAGTGGCTTGTTCATGAGAAGCCTCAATAACAGCACTGGTTTCAATTGTGCCTGCACAAATGTTTATCAGCACCAGAAATCATATTTGTTAAAAACAGATAATAGGTGCATTTTCTTGCAAAACAAATTGTTTTTAAAAAAAAATATAAATTACGACATCATAGCTTCATTAGTCACAATGGTAACTAACAACTAAGTCATGGGGTTAAGAATATACATTTTTTTCTGGGCTCAAAGAGCCGTAACTCAGTCGATTCTCTGCTGCACCTGTGTTTACTGATTACTGCATTTATTCTCTATGGAAATGAATATAGTCTAGACCCTAAATGGAAATATTAGTATTTGTTTTCGTGTTTTTGATGTGACCTGTGTAAAAATGATTTAAAAAAAAAAAAAAGATTTGTGTGTGGTGGAAATGGCCAGGAAGGATTCTCAAAATATGGGTAATTGGCTTTGATTTTTTTAGGTCACTGACAGAAAATGATTTAGCAACATTTACACAAGCCTTTTTATTAACACTGGTGAATGTACAACATAGATTGCAATAATATGAAACTATTAAAGTGATTTTAAGTTTAGGACCCTTTTCGTATAAATGGCTCATCCTGTACACAGTGCTAAACTAGTTTTTTTCATGTACCAATTGTCATTCAATAGATTCTGTCGTCAACATCATGTCGACAATCTTTCTTTGCCTGGTTAATACCTGGTACTCCTTTAGGTTTAGATCAGTCTAAAAGCCAAGGCTAATTATAGAAGACTGCCTCAATGTTGATTTGAACCCCAAATCTGTTGGGTTGGGAGGCAAGCATGTAACGTGTTTTGAGAAAGCTTCAAATGAAAAGCGTAAAAATGTGATAGAAATGACAATGACCATGCCATTGTAACATGTCAATATGGTTGTTAAGAATGTCAAGAGTGTTAAGCACGTGACATCGCCCTGCAGATGAACACAGCAACATCATAATGACAGTTAATGACATAATGACCCTACTTCTGAAAGGAGCAGTACTCTGTTATCCATTTGTTTCTAAAGCAGTGAAGGGGTGAAACATATAGAAGTTCATCAGGGAATAAAGGTCCAGTATGATGATGCATGCCTGTCAGACCAGTAAGTGTATCAGTGGAGAAGGAAGTTTTAAAACAGCGTGACATCTGTCAGAGACTGTTCACGACCAGGTCAGGTCAACCGAGCAGTGACCCCAGAATCAAGTCCAGCCGCAGAAGGCAGGTAAACTGCCGATTGACTGTGAGTGACTTTGTCGCACATCTTGACATCAATCAAGGTTCAGCACACCACATCATCCACAATGTGCTACAGTGCCACAAAGTGTTTGCTAAGAAAATGGATAGCAGAATGCTGTTCCTCTCTGGTGCATGTCAAAAGTGAAGCAGCCATCTTTAAACTGTCATCATGATGTCACTGTGTTTGCACCATGATGTTATGTGCTTAACACACTTGACATCCTTAACAACAATATTGACAGGTTACTCCTGCCTCGTTTAAAAGTCTGCCTGAATGTTAATTCGAACCCAGAACCTTTTGGGATTGGGAGGCAAACATCAAACATGACATTAAGCTGTTACCAAATTCATTAAGTTTTCCTCAATATCAATGCTGACATAATACCAACCAAACTTACTCATATTTCAAGCCAACGCCAGGGCTCTCATTGATGACCGCCACCCCTTGTCTATCCGCCAGCTCCAGAATCTCCTCAGCGTAGGGGTAGTGGGATGTCCGTATACAGTTGACCCCCAGCCATCTCAACATGTTGAAGTCTTTGGAGATCAGGGTATAGTCCAAGCCTTTGCCTCTCAACTGGGGAAACAAACAGAGTTATCTCAGCATATCTGTACAATTTAGTTTAGATAAACTTTCTTCTTCTTCACAGCATTCACCAAATATTCACTCAGGTGGACAGTTCTGGTTGTTCATCCACTTCTGCACTTTAGTCTTACTCCAGAATTTGAGTTTTGTGACACCCATTTTACAGATCTGGCTTATTTGTATGCAAGCTGTTGGTTACTGTCCTCTCAGGTAGATGCTCTCCAATTTAGAAGGAAACAGCCCTAATTAGTCCATCTTTACAACATGCTTCTCAGGGGGGCAGTGATGCTATTCCTTTTCTCCCCAAAATGGGGCAGCGAAACCCACATGGGCAGAAGAGACAACAATAACTACAGAAACATAACTTCAGTTATTGTGACACATTTGTAGGTTAATTAAACTTTGGAGCCATGTTTGTTTATGTTTAGTGTAAGCTGTTCCATACTGAGATCTTAATTCCAACAGCACAGTAAATTCTAGATTCCAAAAGCACAGTGAATTATAGATTCCAAAAGCACAGTGAATTTTAAATTCCAACAGCACAGTAAATTCTAGATTCCAAAAGCACAGCGAATTCTAGATTCCAAAAGCACAGTGAATTTTAAATTCCAACAGCACAGTAAATTCTAGATTCCAAAAGCAGTGAATTCTAGATTTGAAAAGCACAGTGAATTTTAAATTCCAACAGCACAGTAAATTCTAGATTCCTAAAGCACAGTGAATTCTAGATTTCAACATCACAGTGAATTCTAAATTCCAACAGCCATAAGTGATAAGATCAATCTAGAGATGTGTTACCATTCACAAAGATGTCAATTACTGTATGCAGTATCTCTCTTTTCGCCCATCTTAACATCCCCCTGAAAAGCATCGATAATGCAGAATATCATCTTTCTCAATTTCACACACTCCTGCATAACTAGAACAATCCGCCACACATGGCTGATGAGATTTTAAGGGACCTCATACATGACAGTCAGTCAATCCTGCAACAGCCATTAATTCTTGCGGTATTTGTACTTTAATCTGTTCTTTAAGATAGCTTACTCTCTGTGTGGGTTCCAGGACCCCATTGGAGGGAGGGGTGGGGAGAGAACCCACTGCCACCTAATAAATATGTCACAGGAGTGACGAATCAGGGGTTTTTCCTTTGAACTCAAGAGCGCACCTGCCTGAGGGGCTAGGAATGAACATAAATTATACAAATAAGCCAGATTTGTAAAATGGGTGTGCATGTAAAACATAAGTTCTGGAATAAGGATTTAAAACCCTCGCTGTGAGGTACCTACGTCTGAATCCTCATGTTTGGCCACCCCGTGACAGTAGAAAGGTTTCTCATTGATCAGGAACTGGTTGTTGGTGACCCTGATGGTTCGTATCCCAAATGGCTGCCGGTAGACATCATTTGTTATCTTCACCTACAGGAGACAAAAACACAGTTATGAAACAATGTTTAACATAATCGGTAGACACAAACTGACAAGAAAGGGAAGCAATTGTCACTTCTTCTTCTTCTTGTCTTCATTTATCTACACGAAATCTTCATGGAAGAGGAGATCTTCTACTACTTCACATTTACCCGCTGTTAACTCCTGTGGAATATTCTGGTTGTTTGTCCATATCTGGACTTTGGTCTTGCTCTAGAACTTGGGTTTTGCGTGCCTATCTGTTTCATACATTTGTATGCAGACTGTTGTTTCATCACCTCTCATGCACTCCAACTTCAAAGGAAACACTCCTAATTAATCCCCTCCTGCAACATGCTTGTTGGGGGTCTGGGAGTGTAGAGCAGTGGGTCTATTCTTTAGTCTCCTGCAGTGGAGGCCTTAGAACCCACACAGGGAGACAAGGAGGCAAATGTGGCTTTTTGTTCCCCTCTTGCTCCAGTCATCTAAATAAACTCTTTATGGGAGGGGAGAGGTAAGAATGGTCTCTGTGGTCTTTCTAGGTACTCTGCGACGCATCTCTGTAAGATAAATGAATGAATGAAGAAGCGACATCACTGCACCAGGGACAATCCCACATGTGCTCCGTCTCCTCAGTAGCCAACAATGTGTTAAAACCTGTTTTCCTCTCAGTGTTTAATATCTTCCAAAACTTCACCCCCCCCCCCCCCCCCCCCTCCTGCGGTAATGAGTTAGTTTTTCAATGTATAAATTATATGTATTTTTTACCGTACTGTTCATTTAATCCCAGGGAGCCTTTACCACATTTGCTTTACCATAAAGTAGCTCATCATCCAGAGGAGCATCAGCAGCTAAACTGTCAGCTTGCTCATTACCCTGCACACCTGAATATCCTGGACAGAAAATCCATGATACACCCCCTAGTCTGAGTCTTATCAAGTGACACAAGACACTCTGCCTTAAGAAGGCCAGTTTAATTTTTCTGAAGCAGACTCAGTACGATTTACCAAGGATCTCACACATAGATTTAATTTCTCATCCTTGTATTTTCCTTTTGAGTTCAGATGTTATTGTCAAAATTTCATGGGCACAGGTGAAGTTTTAGAGAATAGTGCTCCACTTCTTCTTCTTTTTCTTCTTCTCTACCCCTGTTCTGCCTTTCAGTGCCACGTTCTGAAGAAGCATTTGGTGCGAATCTTGGTACATGCTATGTAAATGCTGGTATTCACATGGTTTGTGTGGTCAACCTCTATATCTGAGTGGTTTTGATTCTGTTTTATACCAGGTATCTACATTACCTAAACCAAAAAGATTCATCGTCAAGTGCCTTGCCTTTCCACAACCTGTGATCTCCAACAGAATGTATTAGTTCAGGACACCCTCTATATCATGGCAAAGGCTAAAGGCTGTACAGAATCTTCTTGTGTTGTCTTCCTCAATCTACCTAGTCCTTCTGTGATACAACACCTTATTTAACAGAATTAGCCGCCTCTATGGGTTCCAGAGCCCAAATTTGGAGAGAAGAAAAAGACCCTCCCCCCCCACCCCTTTCTACAACAAGCATGTCATAAAAGATTACTAACTCGGAGTCTTGCCACTGAAGCTGGAGTACATCTGCTTCCGGGGCTAGGAACAAACAGTCTGCATACAAATAAACCACATTCACAAAATGGATGTGTATGCACAACTCAAGTTCTGGAACAAGACCAAAGTCCAGAACTGGACAAATTGCCAGAACTTTCTGATGAATTTTACAGCCAGTGACCGCTATAAAGAAGAAAGAAACATATTTAGTAGAGAAAAACCTGCTTACTTCCAGTTTGTATAAGTATCCAACAAAAGAGCTGTTCATCCCATATGGCCACCATAGTTGTGGGTATGCGATAGTTACTACATCGGACAGTTTGTTGCTGGAGGCAACCACAGTATCGTTGGCATCAAGGACACTAATCTGAACTGAGGAAGCTGTCCCTCCAGTGACCACCACTGAATAACTGACCACACCTGGAAAATTTCAAACAGCAGGGTTAGACAATTCTGTGAGGAAAGGTTACCATTTGAATTCTTTAACCCGGTTGCCACGAGAAGCTTACATCTAGTTACTTACAGTTGTGAAATTCTGGATGTATCTGCATTTATGTAGTAATCAGCTCTCCAAAAACGTAGGTTCATGATGTTGGTTCTGTTTGCAATGATTTGCAGCAATTATAAGGTCTGGATATGAATGTATTTATTATGTATGAATGTTTTCTTATGAACAGAATGGCTTTTTAAAAAGTCACTGTGATGTCAAATGTTTCCGTAGCCTCAGTGACAGAGGTCACACCATGAGTTACCATACGCACAAACACACACACACATTTATTGGCCTTGAAACTAATTCAATTAAATGTTTCACTCTGTTCATGTTTACTGATGACTCCATTTATCTATGTGTACATATTTTGAAGAAAAAATATATGAATACTGTAGATAAATACATTGTTTAAAACATGTGTACATTTTTAGTTTTTTTTTTATTGTTAGGATTTGTTTTGGGAAATCCCTCAGATTAATGAGCATAGTGTTCTTCTTTTACCCCATGCTGCTCTGAGCATTGGGCTGGTGTCAATAAGTGAATCTATTATTTGTGTTTTGTTCAAACTGACGAGGAAATATTGCTTTAAAAATTGATCACTGCACGTCCCCTTGTGGGTTCCAGAGCCTCATTCTGGGTGGAAAAAGAATAGACCCACTGCTCCCCCCCCCCCCACCCACTTTTTCTGAACAAACATGTTGTAAAAGTTGATTAATTATGGTGTTTCCTTTGAAGTCAGAGTACATCTGCCTGAGAGGCGAGACAACAACAGTCGGCATATAAATAAGCCAGATCTGTAAAATGGATATGCACGCAAAACACAAGTTCTGGAACACAACAAAAGGAAAGAATTGAACAAACAACTTTTCCACCAGAGTTTACAGCTGGAGAACGTGAAGAAGAAGAAGAAGAAGAAGAAGAAGAAGAAGAAGATTACTGCAGGCCAATATCAGAGATCACATACTTGCTTACTGATACAGTAACCAAGCAGACAGTAACATACTGAGACTGAAAGAATTGTTCAGTTACCTTTACCCTGCTCCACATTTGTCAGAATGGTGATGTCGTCAATATAAGTTTGTGGTGTTGTGTACAAACGAACATGGCGATGAATTCCAGCATAGTTGAAGAAATCCATCTGCAAATTCTGAACAAAGTATCCTGAAGGGTACCTAGAAGATGTGGAAGAAGTATGAAGCTTTAAAACACCACCAGGATCAAGTTGGCACATTGTACAGAAAGTTAACAATCCAGATGTTATACTAGCATCTTCTTCTTCTTCATGCTTTTGTGTTCTTTTATAAAGTTCATAATATGCATATCATCATATGATCATAACATGCTTTGTCAGTAAAATACAACTGCTGTGCGAAAGATGGTTGATTGGAAGGGCCGAATGTAAGACGGGCTTGCGTGCCCAATTTGTGACCCTTTGAAAATAAAGTTCGTTCGTTCTTTGATGATTCTGTCAGAAAACTTATATGTGGAGGCCAGTAGACTTGATGAAATCTATCACACAGTCCAAATCTTCATGTGTAGCATACAGCTTTGTTTTAATTGTTTTAAATGAGTTTGGAATAGCCCAGACTGCTACTCCGGTGACAGAATATATGAGTGATCTGATGGTCTACTTGAGTGATCTGATGGTCTACTTGAGTGATCTGATGGTCTACTTGAGTGATCTGATGGTCTACTTGAGTGATCTGATGGTCTACTTGAGTGATCTGATGGTCTACTTGAGTGATCTGATGGTCTACTTGAGTGATCTAATGGTCTACTTGTTCTACTTGAGCGGCCATGTTCTACTTGAGCGGCCATGTTCTACTTGAGTTGCCATGTTCTACTTGAGTGACTATGTTCTACTTGAGTGGCCATGTTCTACTTGAGTGGCCATGTTCTACTTGAGTGGCCATGTTCTACTTGAGTGACTATGTTCTACTTGAGTGGCCATGTTCTACTTGAGCGGCCATGTTCTACTTGAGTTGCCATGTTCTACTTGAGTGGCCATGTTCTACTTGAGCGGCCATGTTCTACTTGAGCGGCCATGTTCTACTTGAGCGGCCATGTTCTACTTGAGTGGCCATGTTCTACTTGAGCGGCCATGTTCTACTTGAGTGGCCATGTTCTACTTGAGTGGCCATGTTCTACTTGAGCGGCCATGTTCTACTTGAGCGGCCATGTTCTACTTGAGCGGCCATGTTCTACTTGAGTGGCCATGTTCTACTTAAGCGGCCATGTTCTACTTGAGTGACTATGTTCTACACTGATCTGATGTTCTAATTCAACGGTCATGTTTAACCAAAATTTTGATATTTATCAAGGAGCAAAATCATCAAGTATCTTACATCAACAACTTGTCTCCCCATGTGGGTTCTGGGGCCCTATTGAAAGGAAAACAAGAATAGATCCACTGCTGGCCGAATGGTTAGAAACCTGGGCTCTCAAGCGGGAGACCTAGGTTCGGATCCTCTGCAAGGCTGGTGATTTGTTTTTTTGCCGGGGCTAAAAAAAATTCTTTTCTGCACAGTTGTGGCGACACCACTAGTCATGCGGCAGTAAATCCAGGCTCAAAGACCCCGCACCCCCTGCCTACACCACAAAGGTCATAAAATAAAGGCAGTATTTGATAATTTTGCCTGCCCAAAAGCATGCCAAAAGAGTCAACTAATTGGTAGCTTCCTTCGTAGTTGGAGTGCACCTCTCTGAGAGCTAAGAAACCAACAGCTGCATACAAATCAGTCATATCTGTTAAACGGATGCACACTGTAAATAGATGCACAAGCAACATTTTAGTTCTAGGAAAAGACTAGAAGTCCAGAAGTGATCAAACAATAAGAACTTTCCACCGCAGTTTACAGCTGGTGGACACGAAGAACAACAACTTGCCAATTGACTCCCACTGGGTACTGCGAACATGGGGACACAGAGATGGCTGCTGCATGGGAGGAGGAAGCAAGAATGGGTCAGCCTGATGTTCTATGAAATCGATAATAAGTAATAAGTAAGATCAAAAACATACTTTGATGTGTCCGTCTGGTACTGGATCGTTCCTGGGGGCAGTGTTGTAGGTGTGAGCGTGTTGTTGACTGCCACCGTGACATAGTTTCGGCCATCAAACTTTAGAAAGCTTTGTATCTCGCCCTCAAATGGAAGATGGCCACCCTCATGCTGAAAGGCTTGTTGGCCATTGACCCACTGCAAGTAGATTTTGTAGATAAAGAAGAAGAAAGCTGTATACATTGAAAAAGAAAGGTATCAAGGTCATAGCTTTGCTAAAAACTAAGGTATGATATGTTAAGGAATGTCAAGGACATAAAATAGTGATTGTTTCCATATAAAAATAAAATATGATAAATGTTGGAGAAGGGTGAGTGAGTGAGGGAAGGAGGGAGGAGATAATCTTTTAGCATAATATCCTTAGCAAATCAAACACAACTGAGATCTGATATTGTATCAGATGTGGTGAATGATTCTACAACATTTAGTCTGAGAATGGAGGTGGAGGCAGTCACAGCAAGTTTCCGCTGGCTTGAGAACCAGCTGCACTCACACAACATGTTGAGAAAGATGGAGACAGGCATACTATGTGCAGAGTGGCAAGCATCGCTTCAGAGGTCTTGGGTAGTTGGTGTTCTTTCGATTGTTTTCCGGCGCATCCAGGAGTGTTAGGAAATACACAGGCAGACAAGACTGGCTGGTTCTGCGCCAATTGGTGGTGAACTTATACATGACAACCCAGATGTGGCCCTAATCTTTTGGCAGCAGGTGAACAACGCAGAGGCACAAATCAATCATTATGGTCTGGAGAGAACAGTACAGCTGAGAGTGACCAGAAGATCTGGTCAACACTCTACACTCAAAGGAAACGCAAGATGGGTATATAATCAAAATGCTACTGGCACCATCAGAATTGGAACTCTTTGCTTGATGCTGAAGATGAGGACATAATGCCTATGGGAATATCCTGAGTGCTGTGATGTCAGCTCTTCGCTCAACACTCAACAAAGAAGCCTGAGAGTGTTTGTCTGCTGGGTGAGTGCTCAAAATAGTTGTCTCTGTTCTTGTCCATTTCAAGATCATTTTTATTGCACATCAGGCACATAAGTGCTCTGATCTTCTCCTTAGCATCAGGTAATCAGGTAACCGCAGTTCCAACTTCATAGCAAAATGAGGCACGTCATAGTTGCCCCACTGGTGGGCCAATGAAAACTACACAGAATGTCCATCAATCTCGCTTGTGACAAAACCTGACACAGACTGCAGTCTCAGCAAATCCAACAGCATACACATGCATTAAACGCATAAGGAAGGTAGCTGTCAGAAGTATCAAAACTAACACACAGACACTAGAAATGCAGTTCATCATTGACAGAAGAAGCAGTTACAACATATCAGTAGTTGCACATGCAATTAATTGCATAAGGCACCATAAGTCTTTTCCTTAACATGTTTCTTAGTGTGTTCACTGATAACTCCTACTGTGTATGTGTGTCTATCTGTTGTATGTATCCGTTTGATGTGTGTGTCTATCTGTTGTGTGTGCCTGTTTGATGTGTGCGTCTGTCTGTTATGTGTCTGTCTGATGTGTGTTTGTGTGTGTGTGTGTGTGTGTGTGTGTGTGTGTGTCCCTATGGTACAGCTAAAAAAACCAATAAACGGCACTAACCACAATTGTGTTGTAGTGAGCACTGTCAAACCTCAGCACCATTCGGCGGTTTGTGGCCCAGTCTGAAGCGACGTAGAATTCTCGGTCATACCACACCCAACCCACAAAGTCACGGAGTTTCTTGTCTTCTGTGACATCGTTGTAGCTGGATGGAACAGGCATGTCTATCACTGGCCCTGTCTGAAAGTACAGGTTCATCAATATTAGAACAGTATGTCATAAAAATCAGTACATTTTAACATCAGACTTCTTTTTACTTGCCATTGCCAGTTGTCCAAGAAAAATTCCAAATTTGATCCTCTTTCAGCCGCCCGAAGGCCTGCTATATCGAAGAAGGGTCCTTTGCTGTCTTTTACGGTTTCCTTTTATTTGTGGTGTGTAGACACACCTGATATTATTGTTGTTTGCTTCCTTGCTGTGCTGCGTTGTTTGCGGTTTTGGGTTCTGGTGTGATCCAGATCTCTTTGCGATGATATTGAAGGGTACTAGCTGACTGTTGCTGGTGCTTGGCTTGCCTCGTGCTGGTCGCTGTGCTGGTGCCCTGTTGCTGCTTGGTTGCCGATCTAAAAGCCGCCGGAAAAAGCCAAACAAATATCCGTTGCTCCATCGATACAAACAATGTTCCTTTTCAGGACAACCAGGGCCGTCACAATCTGTTGTTGTGATCGGCCCAAAAAAAAAAAAAAATCTTTTTTTTTTTTTTTTTTTCCACGGAGTGTGGAGAAGTAGTGGAGGTGAGATAGACTGCAAATGAGAGGTCAGTTTGCCCGAATGTGCCAGTAGATGTGATAGTGAGGTCGGGAGAATGAGAGTGACAGATAGAGGCAGGATCCATCCCGGTCGGCTGAGGTCGCTTGGTCTGAAATAAAAGTGAAAGGCAATTGTTAACATACACGTGGGGTGGGGTGGGGTGGCATGACGGTGACTGGAATTCCCAAGTGCTGGTCCCCTTTGGTGCAATGCCCTCGGCTGTCTGCTTCGGGGCGTCGGGCGGCCTGTGGTATTTTCCGTTGTCTTCTTTTTTCTGAAAATAAACTAGATTAAGATTTTGGTTAGTTAAATGGTGATTACGCGGTTATTTGCCATTGGGACGGAGCGGGTGGGAGTGGCTCCGGTACGTCGACCCGCTGTCCGGTTGGTGGTTGTTTGCTTAAGGCTGTCCTTAAAGATGGCGGCTTGTTTGGTGGGTTCTTTCTGTGGCTATTAGAATTGGCGGCGGCCTCGTCTCCTGGGAGTGCCGTTATTCCAATTTTTCTTGCGAATTTGGATCAGGGCCGCATTAAATTCGTCATAGAATTGGTCAAGTAGTCGGCCCGCTTCTGTTTCTTCTGGTGTTTTGTCTTTTTTCAGGATGGTTTCATAGTGGTAGTCGACGCAGTAGCGCCTACTTTCTTCGTCGTACGACAGCTTGTGCGGGACAATATGCTCGTTGTATTCTTCAAGCAATGCGTCGAGTTCAGCCTCGCAGGTTGCGTCAGCTACTGGTTTCAGGCTGCTGAGTGGCTGCCTGGTGGCTGTCTCATCGCTTGGTTCTTCGTTCATATCGGGGTCTGTCATCTGTTCCTGGTGCTGCATCACTACCGCTTCGGTAAGTGTGCTTTTGTCGGTATTTGGTTGTTTTACAGTTTTGCTGGAGGCCTCTCTTGCTTTCTCTAGCAGGGCGCGCTCTGTTCTTGCCGCCAGCACTGCAGCTTCTGCTTCTGCTTTTGTCTGGATCATAAGAGTGACTTCTTTGTAAGTGCTCTCGCGGGCTTCCCTAAGTGCGTCGGTTTCTTTTCGTCTCTCCTCCCTTTCTTCCTGTCGTCGGGTCTCGTCTGCAGCTTTTTCTGCTTGTAATTTTAGTGTCATTTCTGTCAAGTTGTCTTGCATTCGTGCAGCCTCTGCTAGCCACTTTGTTTGCTGCGATACCTGTTCTCGTCTGTCGTTTTTCAATGCTTTGATTTCGTCACGCATCTGCGAAATCAGGTCTAGCATCTGCGTTCTGTCAGCGTCGGTGTCGGACTTTTCTTGGCGGAGAGCTCTGATTTCCGCTAAAATTTCAGAAATTTGTAGCGAGATTACAGGGTCCATTGCGGCTGTGATCGTTCTGTCGGTTTGTCTGTCTGGTGTCCGTTGTGCTGGCTTCCCACTCGGTTGCTTTGGTGCTGCTGAGAGCCTGGGTGCCACGTATCTCTGTCCGGCTGCTTCGTGGGCGGTTCTGAGTGACCTTTTGCACTGCTGGAGATACGGGCAGCCCATGTATCTCGCGCCGTGCGCACCGGAACAGTTGGAGCATTTGCGGTTGCTGTTCGGTCTTTTAAAATTAGTGTCAATTTTAGCCAGCGGGCACTCCTTGAATTCGTGCGTACCAGAACAGTATCTGCACGAGAGGCTGCTGCGGCAGGACGAAGCTGTATGCCACGCCTTATTGCAGCGCGAGCACTGCATGATGTCTGGTGTGCTGGTCTCAGGCTGCCGCTGCTTGCGTTGGCGATAGGGTCCTTGCGTCGCTACTGAGGCGGCATCAGGCACCCCTGAAGGGTCGGCTCCCGAGGGAGCGGTCCCCTGTGCTGGTGATCCTGGTGATTCAATCGTAATGGGCGCAGTGTCCATTTTCTACGACGATAATAAAAAGTTCTCGAATTTATTTAGAGGTTAAACGCACGCCCTAGGTCTCGGTTTAGAAAGTTTATAATGTAAATTATAATTACCTAGGGCGTTGTTCCTTCCTCTGTTGATTCTTGTAGATCTGTGTTGCTGGTGGTTGTCGTTGGCTAGGTGCGTACACGGGCTGCTAATGACCCACCCGCAGCCGATTCCGATAACTCAGTCGAGACAGACTCAGCCGAATATCAAGCGATTCTGTCCAGTAGCTGGTTATCGAAAATCAGGCAACGAATGGATAGTTAGCGGGGCAACGTGTTCAGGCGAGGCGGGCTTGCGCGTTCAACGTGTTGCTCGGGCAAAGGCTGTCAGCGAAGTGTGTGATCTTTTTACTCGACTTTCTACTGCTTATACCATAGTGTGTCACGGAGTTGAATGTAGTTTCCTGTCCTTTGCTTGTTGCATAGCTTTTTTTAATGTCATATTATGTTTCTGTAGTGTTTCTTTTACTTCCTCCACCTATATTTTTCTAGGTAAGCCTCTTGACTTGTAGTATGCTGTTCTCATGTAGAACACTCTAGCTGCTGGCTAATTTTGTCCATTCTGACCAGATGACCAAACTATTTGATTTTCTGATGTTCTGTGTATATAACAGTGTACATAACAGTGTATATATAACAGTGTATATAACAGTATATATAACAGTGTACATAACAGTGTATATATAACAGTGTATATAACAGTATATATAACAGTGTATATAACAGAGTATATAACAGTATATATAACAGTGTATATAACAGTATATATAACAGTGTATACAACAGTGTATATAACAGTTTATATAACAGTTTATATAACAGTGTATATAACAGTGTATATAACAGTGTATATAACAGTGTATATAACAGTGTATATAACAGTATATATAACAGTGTATATAACAGTGTATATAACAGTGTACATAACGGTGTATATAACAGTGTATATAACAGTATATATAACAGTGTATATAACAGTGTATATAACAGTATATATAACAGTGTACATAACGGTATATATAACAGCGTATATAACAGTGTATATAACAGTATATATAACAGTATATATAACAGTGTATATAACAGTATATCACCTACTTTATTGAACTTTAACTTGTGCCCATTCTACAGAGGCAATTAGGATATATGAAGAAGATGAGAATGTCACATATCATCAATATGACTACATTATTTATATTAGTAAAATATTTCATGAACTCTTTCGGGAATCAAGTAGTTGTACTTCAGCTCTTTGTACTCCAGGAAGTTGAGCTTAAAAGTAGTAAAGTGCAGACCTGATAAGAAGAAATCACCAGGGACCCAAGAAGTGGTTCTTCTTATCAGAAATTCCTCTTATCCAGATAAGAGTTTAAGCAAGAAAATTACAGGGGATAAACAATTTGTTTTTCGACATCAGAAAATCACCACATCCGAGGTCACTTTGAGCATATTCATAAGTCTGAAGAAGTTTAGTGGAAACAATATGGGGCCAAATGTAGGTGAACAAGCAGCAGCTACCGAATCTCCTGCAGCTTCCTTCATTGTAGCGTAGCAGCGTGAGAGATACTCTCGGCGGTGGCGGTAGTGGCCGGAAGTCTGTAATTTACATGTGACTGAGGCCCATTTTTTTAATGACCTTGGCTCCCAGGTCGATCCAGCCTTAAATGGGTACCAGGTAAAGTCGTGGAAAGTAAAGGCGGCCGATGTGATGTTCACCACTCTCCGCATCACCCGCTGAATTCCGACTAATGTCCAATACCCCTTAAGGCGTGGGAAATGGTGCTTTACTTACTTTTACTGTGACAATAAAGTAAATATTCTCTGTATTTCTACAGACTAAGACTTGCCTGATACAAGCGAGCCGTCCACCATTTCTCAGCAAAACCTTGGTTCCGTGTCGGCGAATAATCTGCACGAAAATGCCACAATCCGTCAAGAAGTTTCGACTGTCTGGCTTCGCTATCGCGGGGATAAAGCATACCGACTCCACCACTTGCACCATGAACGTAGAAAAGTAGGAAAACGAGCAACAAATGCTGCAACATTGTCAAACACTAACAAGAACGACAATGCTTGTCTTTGTTTAAACCCAACAGCCCGTCAACTGATCACATGACTTGTATTGTATCACGTGATGTTTTTACTGAAAAATGTCGGTAAGGTTGCCGCCTTATTTTGGCTCTATTAATTGGGCTGACAAACACTTTTGTTTTCCATATCTTTCATATCTTTTGTTGCTAATAAATACGTCACCAAATCGTGGCCTCTCTAACAGTTATCTGAAAGAGATATTACACCGAGTGTTTAAAAGTGCAATTCACATCAATTTCAGCAATATATCTGCTTTATAAGCTTAATTGGTATCAATAAAGATAAGATACGTAAACATTTTGATGGATAAGAATCTTAACGCTGCTGATGTTGGTGAAGGATAACTGACGTGTCAAGGCCAGGGCGTATCTGACTGACTTTGTGACCTCTTGTCACCCCTCTCACGAAGGACGACACTGTTGTATATATTGTTGTGACCAACAAAGGCTTGATAAACAATACCACAGTCAATCTATCTTAGACCCGCCGCCAGACAGAAATCATGGGGGAAGGGGGTGTGCTTCAACAACCCCCCCCCCCCCACCCCACAATTCAATAATGATAAAAGGTCGGGGAAGGGAAGCCTTGTATAACTACGTAATAATACCGTTCATAGGTTATGTTAGTTGTGTATCCTTTATAGGACGTTGCGGAACCAACCTCAACAGCTGTTGTGTGGTTTTTCTAGGCAAATTTACCTCTAGTAGTTTGCCACTGCTACTGGACGGTCGGCTTTCTTGATACCACTGTCGAAACCAACGCAGGCGCATGGCCCGCAGCTGGGATTGAACCCAGCATCCTGGCATTACGAAGCGTTCGCATCGACTTAGCCACAGAGCCGACAATACCGTTCATACATTTATTATTATATTATTATTATTATTTATTATTATTATTATCGAAACTGTACTGGTCGCACACTGAATTACAACAGACAGTGAAGTTCATACTAGAGACAACGTTGTAGATACAGATGATCTATTTCAAGCCAGCGAAAGAAATATTATTATTATTATTGATTTATTTAAAATAATGTTAAATGCTTAAAAATAGAACGTCTACATGTGGTTGAAAGAGGCTGTGGGTTGTTCCCTAATTATGATTGGGGGGGGGGGGGTTATGGGGGGTCCACCCCAGCTACAAAGGGAGGATCATGACGGTGCTAGATCGACAAGAACCCCTCCCATCCTCCCCCCCCCCCCATTTTTTTTCTCTCTAGAAAACATGCCCATGGTCAGATGCAAACTATTCTGTGGATTGTGTCCCCCTCGGTCATTTGACACAACACGACCTCGGCTGATATAAGTCAGCCTATATCTTCATTCCGTTCTGTTCTGTCATGTGTAGTCAATTCGATATCACAGATGGAATCCGGTACTTTTGGCCTGTGTCATCAGCGGTCGTTTTAGGATTATTGGGGGGGGGGGGAGGGGGGGGAGGGGGGGGGGGGGTGGCGACCTCGCCGCCTTAATTCATTTTTCCCATGTTAGTGCTTGTCTGGTGATTTTCTGCTCATTTCTTCTCAGAGTATGTCTAAAATAGCGTCATCTTCTCTCTCTCTCTGTCTGTCTGTCTCTCTCTCTGTGTCTCTCTCCCTCTCTTGCTCTCCTCTCTCTTTCTCTTTCTCTCCCTCTTTCTCTCTCCTCTCTCTCCCCTCTCTCTCTCTCTCTCTCTCTCTCTCTCTCTCTCTCTCTCTCTCCCCCCTCTCTCTTTCTCTCTCTCTGTCCTCTTTCTCTTTCTCTCTCTGTCTCTGTGTCTCTCTCTCTCTCTCTCTCTCTCTCTCTCTCTCTCTCTCTCTCTCTCGCTGTCCTCTCTTATAACTGTTGTTACATGTGGTTTCCTAGACATTTTTCTGATTTCTTCACCCCTTTTTGAATTCACTCCCGTTTGTGTTCATTATTTTCCCCAGACGTTTGTTTTCAAATGCATTCAACTTCCGTTCCGTGTCTTTAGTGGTTTCCCAACAATAACATTAGAAATTGAAAATACGTAACTCGGTTTGTAAACTAAACAATTTAGAGTTCCACATTTTAGCTAAGACATTTAAACGCTGCTGCTGTCCTGGCAATGCGTGTCATAACTTCGTTCTTTGTGTTTTCTTCACTTTCAACATTACTGTCCAAATAGGCATATTGATCTGTTGTTACTTGAATTCCCGTTGTGGTGTTGAATCCAACAAAGTTTTTCAAGATGTTATTCATGGCTGCCTCTCAAACGAGAGACCCGGGTTCCAATACTCGGTAATGCGAGGGATTTGTTCTGTCGTGGGCCAAATAAATCCTGACCGGCACAGTCCATGGCGACAGCACTAGCCATGCGGCCTTAAAAACCTCAGACTCAATGACCCCCCTGCCTACACCGAAAAAGTGGTAGAATAAAGGCAGTAATTGGCAGGTGTGTTTTTTTTTTAATCATTGCTGCATGCTGGGTAGCTCTCTTCCTGACTCGCCAGACAGAGGTTAGCATCGATGTCACCGGCTGGACGACGTCACCAGTACAGTGGCGTGTGGGATTTCTTTAGGACACGTGGCTAAAGATGGTGGGAAGATCATTGCTGCGTTAGGCGCTGTGAGTTCTCTCTGGAGGTCGATGGGCAAGTTGTGTGGAGATTTGAAGTTGGTTCTAGACTACGTGATTGATAGCCACAGACAGACAGACAGACAGACAGACAGACAGACAGACAGACAGACAGACAGACAGACAGACAGACAGACAGACAGACAGACAGACAGACAGACAGACAGACAGACAGACGGGCGGACGACGGACGGACGGATGGACGGACAGACAGACAGACAGACAGACAGACAGACAGACAGACAGACAGACAGACAGACAGACAGACAGACAGACAGACAGACAGACAGACAGACAGACAGACAGACAGACAGACAGACAGGCAGACAGGCAGACAGGCAGACAGGCAGGCAGACAGACAGACAGACCGACCGACCGACCGACCGACGGACGGACGGACGGACGGACGGACGGACGGACAGACAGCTAGCTAGCTAGCTAGATAGACAGACAGACAGACAGACAGACAGACAGACAGACAGACAGACAGATAGATAGATAGATAGATAGATAGATAGATAGATAGATAGATAGATAGATAGATAGATAGATAGATAGATAGATAGATAGATAGATAGATAGATAGATAGATAGATAGATAGATAGATGGATAGATGGATAGATAGATGGATAGATGGATGGATAGATGGATAGATGGATAGATGGATAGATGGATTGATAGATAGATAGATAGATAGATAGATAGATAGATAGATAGATAGATAGATAGATAGATAGATAGATAGATAGATAGATAGATGATAGATAGATAGATAGATAGATAGATAGATAGATAGATAGATAGATAGATAGATAGATAGATAGATAGATAGATAGATAGATAGATAGATAGATAGATAGATAGATAGATAGATAGATAGAATAAATAGATAGATAGATAAAATAGATAGATAGATAAATAGATAGATAGATAGATAGATAGATAGATAGATAGATAGATAGATAGATAGATAGATAGATAGATAGATAGATAGATAGATAGATAGATAGATAGATAGATAGATAGATAGATAGATAGATAGATAGATAGATAGATAGATAGATAGATAGATAGATAGATAGATAGATAGATAGATAGATAGATAGATAGATAGATAGATAGATAGATAGATAGATAGATAGATAGATAGATAGACAGATAGAAAGCGCGAACGAACTTTAATTTTCAAGGGTCACACATTTGGAACGCATGCTTGTCTTATGTCTAGGTATAAACAGACAGACACACAAGCAGACAGTCCCTTACACTCAGAGAACTGCAGTGTACCCCAGCCTAGCACTTACTACAGCTGTTTCTTGTGCCCTAATTATAACCGCAGGCTTACGTAGAGAGAAGCTTCAGAAGTTGTCCAATCGGACTGTAAAATATGTCTTCCTTAGCCGTGTGTGATTCAGTGTTTTAGCACCTGTTCTACGAAAACTTTACTGCGTTCATTGTCTCATTCATTCTTTTCTGAATCCACTCATGTATTCGTTCGCTCGTTAGTTCATTGTTTTCTTTCGCTTATTCCGTTATGCTTAATTCTTTTATGAATGAATCAGTTAATTCCTTTGTTTATTCTTTTGTTAGTTTATTAGTGCCGCCTGTGTGTCACCGGGGCCCTCACGGGAAGCAAAAAATAGTGCATTCTACCAGGCATGTCGTAAGAGGCAACTAAGGGTAGGGTTGGGCTTGAGGTTGATTACTTCATCCTATAAAAACAATAGCCACAAAAACCAACCAACCATGGATAAGTCAAAAAGAGAAACCTAAGAAGAGAGAAATAAGCTAGCTCCATTGGACCAAGAGGTACTAGATATTCTTTGCCCTAGAACCCAGTGACATAGGAATAAATGAAGCGCCCCCCCCCCCCCCACCCCAACAACAAATGGCGAGAGCTGCATGCGATAGCAAAGAAAAGAGCGACATCGCGTGAGTTGGTTGCCTATGCTTCATTGGGAGCTAGAAAGGCAGAAGAAGAAATTCATTCGTGAGCTCAGTTCTCCCTCCTTGAGATTCAATCTCCGCACGATGGTCCCGGGGATCCGTGTTGGAGAATAAAGCATACACAAATGCATCCCCACAAGCATGTCGTAGGGAGCGACTAATTATGCGCGTTTCTTGAGTGCATCTGCCTTAAGGTAAAGAACCAACAGTCACATACAAAAACCTCAGATCTTTAAAACGGATGTGTTTTGGATTAAGACCAAGTGAGTGGACAAACACCGGAACTTTCCACCCAAGTTTACAGTTGGTGAACGAGAAGATGAAGAAGAAGTTAGTTATAGAAAAGAACAATTAATATTACTATTTATGGAAAGGTCATCGAGAAAAGTGCAGGAATAGACACTTCTTTATAAGCTCAGTTGGAGATTC